CAGATTTTCAAAGGCCAATATCTGCTTACAAGTTTCAAATATTCATTGCAACAGTTGTAATCTCATCCAGTCTCCCTGAAGTGTTGAATTGAAATAAATGATATATCCGACTTATTAAAGACATTTTAAATTCAGTATGGAATACCCCCAGCTGTGGGTTAAATAGCAAGACACTTGGCTCCCTAGCTATCATTGGCAATCAGTCTAGAAGGAGGACAACTCTGAATTCAAAACCATATGTGTCTCTGGGACCAAATTATGAGTTGCTTTTTGGCAAGGTAAATATCCTTTGGAAAGGTATGAATCCATCTTTTCTCCTCCTAGTTGTGGGTTAAATAGAAAGACACTGGGCTCTCTAGCCATGGTAGGAGCAGGAAAACTCTGAATTCAAAGCCATATGTAGCCCTAGCACCAAATCATGGGTTGCCTTTTGGGAAGGCATAGCACCCAGAAGCCGCATCTGCCAGGGTTACAGTGAAGATATTGGTAGCAGAACTATATAGACAAGTTATTTGGTATTGCAATGGTGTCATGTAAAACGAACTATCATACTGGACAATGCTTGAGACCTAATTATTCCACGCAAAGAAATACCATGAAAGTATTTATAAAAAAGGCACAGAGAGGGAACCTAACGGTGGTGGGAAAGTAACTGAAGCTGAGCTGCCAGATTAAGACTAATAATATTTAGTTAGCTGTTTAATGAGAAAAATGCCATTTAAACATTTTATAATGAACTAGTAGCATGGCCCGGCATTGCCCGTGCTTGATTAAAAAATCGTACGACTCATACAGCAATCACTATCACTTGACTTAAAATATTTTTTGCCCTTCCTTGCCTTTAAAGGAGTGTCCTTTGCTGTGCTGATGTTGCTACATGCCTTACTTCTTGCCTATCTCACACTGCAAATTTTTTTTTTAAGCTCTATACTAAACATTAAATCTGTTATGAAAAAAGACTAAACAAAATGAACACAAAATGATCAGCTTTAAAAAAGGACTCATAACTGGAAAAACCGAATGAAAAAAAATGTTGTTAACAACAAATACTTTTTCACACCCAACCCAGTTCTGCGGAATCAGAATCAACATTGAGTTTAAGCAAGTGAATGAGCCAATTGGAGTAAAGTGCCATGCAGATTTAAATTTTTCCCACTTGTGACGAATACATCTATCGATTTTTTTTTTGCATGCTAGTTAACATTCGTGTCAGTCAGCTGTTGGCTCTCACGCTGGCCAATAGAATCTTCCTGCCTATTCATGGCAGCCAGCTATTGGCTCTCACTCTGGCCAGTACAAAATGGCTGCAAACTACATGAAAACTGCCGTAGAAGCATGAAAAAATCGATTATTTCCACTATTGATGGGAGTTGGGAAATGCAAAGTCGGTCTTGGCCTTGCCACTAACTTGGAGCATGTGCATGTAAATTTTTGTGCAAATCTGTTGAAAATTGCAGCTGTGCATTCATTACACACACACACACACACACACACACACACACACACACATATGAAAACACACAAAAACACACACACCAAATTTTGCCTTTTATGGATAGAGACAAACAGTGACCTCAGAAACATATTTCATGTTCAGAAAGAAGATACTATTTCAACACATTCTGTTCTGTTTTTTTGGGTTTTTTTTTATCCATCCTGATGTGTCTAGACCAGCCTCTGTCAATTTATACACCTGGGCGAACTAATGCACCCTTGAAAGGTAGCCAGGTGTGTCCCAAGTTAACACAAGAGTAATTTATAAATTATTTTTTTTATTTAAATGATCTTTATTTTTAAAAAGCTAGAGACATCAATTACATCACTTCTATGTATAAGTCAAGTCTTTCTCATTTGATGTTTTAAACTGAGAGGGGGACCAGATGGATTCATGCCTTTCCCAAGGGTATTAGCATGTAAGTGAATGTAATGAACTTGACTGGAATTTGAACACAGCTCTCCAATTCCTCAATCTGAGCCGCCATCCACTATTCCCCTGTGCTTCCATAATATATACACTGTAACGTCTTAAAAATAAATACTTATTTCAGGATATTTCTTTATTATTTTCCTATTTTCAAATTTCATGACTAATTTTTCCTTATTAAAATTTAAAGTGCATCCCAGAGTTTTAGCCATTCTACAAGTGCACCATGAAGTAAAAATGGTTGAGAAACACTGGTCTAGATACATGTATAAATGATTCTGTTCTGATCTATCTAATTATAACTTCTAAAAGAGGAAACAATAATTAGTCTTTAACAGAAGGTGTTTTATAGACTCCTCAATCATACCTGTTATTGCAGCCTTTAATGTATCCTGGGTATGATGATAAACTACATCTGACAACAAGGCTTCTGATTGGTATGTTGGAGGTTTTGAGGAGTGTGGAACCACCTCTTAATTGCTGGTGTTCCCAGGTACACTCCAACTTGGGGTGATAGCACCTTTTAGGGTTCCAGCTATGGGTAAATAGTTAACCCCAAACTGGGTACAAAACACTATGAAAGTGTAAAAATAGGTTTTAATACCAGCAATGAATTTTTGAAGAAAAATTTATTACCAGCAATACAGTTTTGAAAAATAGAAAATATTACCAGCAATAGATTTTTGAAGAAAAAAATATATTACCAGTAATACATTTTTGGGGGGAAAAATATTACCAGCAATAAAAATCTTGTCAGCATTAAATAACCCATTGATGTGTTGATATACCGTAAAACAAAATAAACCAAACCAAACTAAGCCAAAGAATACATATTCTATTCATATGAATCTATCCTAAAAATCTTGTCAGCATTAAATAACCCATTGAGGTATTGATATGTCATAAAACAAAACTAAACAAACAAGCAGCCTTTAAAAGTCATGACAGCGGCTAGTATTGGCTAATTTACAACATAAACTGATTATGAGGTTCACTCTCCTATCTTTATTTCCACATAATCTATATTTACTGTCTTATTTACATTGGCCTTTATATACATTGTTCTTATAGTGCTTTTTTGCGGGGGACCCCTATTAAGAGCAACGCAGTTTCTCTTTGAAGGTCTCCTCTACATAACCATGTCTATATCAATTAATCTGCCATTTCTTTGGTTTGTCTTCAGGAGTGTCCTCATTATTGTTTTTCAAGTTATCTTCCGAAGCTTCTAGTTTTTTCTTTTATTCATCATAGTCGAGTTTTTGGCTATTTTGAGTCAATTTTCCTCCTACAACTTCATATTATTATTAGCAAACTTGGATCTTCATGCCTGCAAAAAATAAAAAAGTGTGAAAAGGATGTTTTTTCCATTGACACTGCTATTATTTTAACTACCTTTACTACTCGGCAATGTTTATTGTTTTAAAAAACGATGATTAGAAAGTTAATAAAGCCAAAACATATGATGAAAGTGAATTTACACATTTTTTTTGTTCTTGAGAATTTAAAACAAAAATATTAAACACTATTTATTATTTTTTTACCAGAATAATTTTATATTTACAACATTCTAAAAACTAATAGCAATTAAAACTACTGCAATGCAAAATTTATCATTTACTAATTTATAAAGAAATAAATATGAAAACAATTTTTTATTCATAAACTTATAAACGTTTACTAAATTATTAAAATATGTGAACCATCTATAAGGAAATCCTCATTATTTACCATTTTATAAAGTTTGAATCGATTGACAATTAGCTGACATTTTGCCAACCATTCCAATAAACAATCTAATAAATAAATAGTTTTTATTATTTTTGTTGTCAGTTTTAAAGAACAAAGAAAATGTTTAAATTCACTTACATGTTTTAGATTTTATTACAATTCTAATTATTGCTTTTTTAAAACAACAAACATTGCTGAGGAGATATTTAAAATAATAGCGGTATCAAGGGAAAAACTGTTCTTTTGGCACTCCACTTTTTTTTTGTGAAGATCAAAGTTTGCCTTAATAATAGTAATAATGATGATCTTGATTTTCTTTTCTCAAATCCTTGATTTATTGTGCTTCCCAGCATATACTTTAAAAGAAAAGATATGGTAATGATAGTTGTTATTTACAAAACATAGTTCAGTTTGAAATTGTGCTTACATCATTGATAACTGCATATGATTATGAATTGGGGGAAAAGGGTATCAGTACACAGTTATTGATAACATAAGCACAGTTTCAAACTTAATATTTGTAAATAAAGATAAAGTACAGATAACTCTGACAATTTGGTACTGCATTTATATTAGGCACAGTGGAAAAATTGATTGCAGCTCAGACTGAAGAATTAGAAAGCTGAGTTTGAATTCCAGTTAAGTTCATTACATTCCCTTACCTTCTTGGGAAAAGTATGAATCCATTTCTTTTCCTCCCAGCTATGGGTAAATAGCATAACAGACTGTGTCCTATATCCTTGGCAAATAGTCTAGGAGAAGAAAAACTCTAAATTCAAACCAACCTAGAGCTGTTTGGGCTCCATCAGGCTATCTTGCTCAAGGAACACCACTGCTACTAAGACTGCAATAGTTGGGGCCCCTATGACCCTCATGGCTACAGAACTTGTAATTGTGTTATATCATTAACAGGACCTCATTTGTAATATGGTAAAAAGTCAATATTTTTTTTTATTCTGATTCTAATAATAGTCTAATGGATGCTAATTTTTCATTGTTTTGTTTTTTTATGAGTATGTCATTTAACATAAATAGTACATAAAGAGTGTGATTCATTGATTTGTTTTGTTTTTTATGGCTTATCAACCTTTTGCAGATTATTTAAAGCCAGACCTCAAAAAAATATTACAATTTACAAAATATTTGTAAATTGTAATAATTTTTGGAGATAATAATTATTTTCTGATAGAAGCCCTACTAATTCACCCATAGCTGGGGAGAGATGAGGTGGATTCATACTAATCCCAATGGTATTTGCACATTAGTGAATATAATGAACCTGATTGGAATTGGAATGCAGCCCTCCAATTTCTGAACCATTATTCATTAAACCACCTGAACATCCAAGCTTACAGCACCTGGTATTTCCAAGTGGTCACCCATCTAGGTACTGACCAGGCTAGATGTTGCTTAACTTCAGTGATTGTATGAGAACCAGTGTTACAACCTGATATGGCTGTAAGCCACATAAAGAATTAATGTAAATATCTGTATACACTGACATTATAGATTTTATAAGCTTTTTGCAGATCATGTATATTTTTTTACTTTTATTTTTTTATTATTATACATTGAGTTATTATTTTGTTATTATTATACATTGAGTTATTTAGATCAATTTCATTGTCTTTTTTGTGATGTCAATGAACACTCATTGCCACTTTTATAATGTCAATGAATATGTGTTGTCACTTTTGTAATGGTCGTTGTAGTAGAGACTTTGTAATCAGATATACAACTATAGTAACACTGTTGAACAATACTGGTGCCAGGCACCTTTGAATAAGACTCTCACTAATAGTACTTGCTTGATAATACTCACTTGAAAAGTAACCACAGAATAGTGATCCAAATAGTAATCCATATAGTGATCAGTATAGAGAAATAGTATAGTGGCTAGAGAATAATGATCCGTATAGTAATAGAGAATAGATTAGAAATGGTGATCACTTAGACATCATGCTAATTCCCATATATACATTTCCTTTACTATTACTTGATCTAATTCTTCAAAATGGGATTGCCTATGTTTGCTCTCTGGTGATCAGTGTTCAAACCCAAGTGTCGGCGTGCAACACCTTATTCTTATATAAAAGTCTTCATTGTCTTTTGACCAATGACAGATTGGGTTTAAAAATATTGGTTGCTAGGAAACAAAGGGGGCTCACCCACAACTAAAATGCTTTAATTTTCATAATGAGTAAATAAAATTTTGCCAAAATTACAGAGTGAAAAAAAGGGTATAATTAAAATGTTTGCGGAAAAATGAGTATTAGTAATTACAGTGTACATGAACTGTACATATTACTGGCAGTAAATACCAAATGTAAATACACAATGTTATAATAGAATTTTTTTTCTTTTTAATTCGTTGATATTTTTAAACATTTTTATGCACAATTTACACATTAATGGATCAAAATCACAACATAGCATTGCATGCAGTTCACTATATTAAGAATAATTGTTTGTGTTCATTAGATGATTTTTCGAATCTGCCAATAATTTCTTCGGCATCCAATTAATCTAACAATTCCTTCTCAATGGATAGCAACATGTATGATTCCAAATTCCCCTCAGACAGTGAATTTCTTACCTTTGTCTTGATGATCTTTAGTTTTGAAAAATGTCCTCTCACATTGGACTTGAGTTACTGAGAATGTGCGGATGACTTTATAAAGTTTGTATTCTTTTTTATTTCTAAAACATTTATCTGTGTTATTTCTTCATTTGAAATATAGGCAGACACTTCATCAGTATTTGCTGTATACTTTTTTTTTTCTTTTTAATAAATCAAAATCAACAAAGACGCTCTTGGTTACCCTGTAATTATAGTGTATATGTACTGTATATATTACTGGCAGTAGATACTAAATGTAAATACAGAATGTTATAACTTAAATTCTTATTTATTTTTAAAAAATTTTAAGTAATTGTTTGATATTTTTAAATAGTTTACTGCATAATTTACACATTGACAGATCTTTGAAGTGTATAATAGAGCATTGCATGCAGTCCCCTATATTAAGAACAATCGTTTGTGTTTAGGAGATGATTGTGCACATCTGCCAATAATTGTTTCTGCCTCCATTTCATGTAACTATTTCTTTTCAATTCATAGCAACATGTATGATTATAAATTATCATCAAAGCGAATTTCTTAACCTTGTCTTTATGATCTTTAGCTTTCAAAATGTCCTCTCACATTGGATGTGAGTAACTGATAGTATGCAGATGACTTTATAAAATTTTTATTCCTTTTTATTACTAAAAAATTTGTCTGTGTTTGTTACTTTATTGTATTTGATATAGAGGGCTCATTCACCATCAAGCAAGCTGACACCTTGGCCAGTCTTCCACTGGTGTCAGTTTGATATCATTGCTCTGATAAATAAACTTTTCCTTATATAATTCCAACAGTCAAGTCATTCACATAGATTATATTCCAAATGAAATTTGACTCTTCAGTTCAGTTTGAATATGACATCACATACTTGACATTTATTAGATATTTTTGTTATGGAAGCAGAATCAATTCATTAAACCAGTGAAATGATTTAGTAAGCAGATGAGAGGGTTGGAGATTAAATGCTAGGTTAGGTATTTTTACTTTATTTTTTTATCCAATAATTACTTCTGCATCCAATTCATCTAACAATTCCTTTTCAATGGATAGCAACATGTATGATTCCAAATTCTCATCAGACAGCAAGTTTTTTAACTTTTTCTTTATGGTCATTAATTTTGAAAATGTCCTCTTGCATTGGATTTGAGTAACTGCTGGTGTGCAGATGACCTTATAAAGTTGGGGTTTCTTTTTATTGCTAAATCATTTGTCTATGTTTGTTTCTTTATTGTATGTTTATTTGATATAGGGGGCTGATATGTCCTGGAAAGGGATATATTTGAACAAAGTAGCTAAGTGGTTTTGGCTACTATAACCAAGTAGAATACGGTAGCAGTAATCGACTGGTATGCATTGTAGTCGCAGGTAAGAAGTGTAGATCAATGGCGTAGTCCAATGGGCATTGTTATGGACTTAGCTCTCAGACTAAGGCTTTTGACTCTGTCATACCTACATGTCTGTCGGTATTTATGACGGATGCCAGGCAATCATATTCCAGTGAGGGGGAACACAGGTGTATGCATATTCCATTATATCAGCGACCCACTCCATCAGAGGACTGTTGGGTCTGTAAAATTTAAAAAAATATCTCATATATAGAGATATATCACATGATATGAGGCAGTCTCTCATTGCTTAATTAAACAACATGGGTTTGGAAAAAATTGACCATGAGGAGAAGTGATTCAAACCTGCTTTGAAGCAAAACACAAGGAATTTTCCCCACTGCCATGATACCAGTTACCAAGAGTTTAAAGATACAAGTTGTCTGGTCCTATTTCACTCCAATAGATGGGTAAGTTCACCTGACATATTCTCTATATATGAGAAAGGACATTGTGTTTTTGCTCATCGTGGTATTCATGTTTTTAAATGTAAATAAATAATTTTATTAAATGTTGATAAAGCTTTCATTCTTACTCGTGTTAGTCCCAAAGTAATGTAGGACTAGCACAATAGGCCCACTTGCAAAGTAACGTGGGACCAAAATGTTTAGGCCCCAGATTGGGAAAGTAACGTGGGACTAAAAAATAATATTTATTGCAAAGTGATATAATGGAATATGCATACACCTGCATTCCACCTCACTGGAATATGATTGGCTGGTGTCTGTCATAAATCAGATGGACATGTAGGTATAGCAGAGTTTATGTCTATGATGACACCTATTGGACTACGCCATTGGCTATCCTATTGGTCTACACCTATTACCTGTGACTACAATGAGTACCAGTCGATTACTGCTACCATGTACTACTTGGTTATAGTAGCCAAAACCACTTAGCTACTTTGATCAAATATATCCCTTTCTGGGACATATCACAAAGTAACGTGGGACTAGCACAATACGCCCGCTTGCAAAGTAATGTGGGACCAGTGCAATAGGCCCACTTGCAAACTGACAGCTTGACCAGTCTGCCATTGCTTTTGACTATTGTGTGTTGCCTGCCTGGATTGAACTCAAAACTGTTTCTTTAGGTGATTTTTAGAGCAGGGGCCAAATTGGCCATATCTGATAAACTACTGATCTTTTAAAGCCATAAAATATAAACAAAATTTACATACTTGATATATACATCTTGTTAAAAAAAATCTTTATATAAATATTAAATCATTCACTTGATTTAGATTACAACCTTTGAATATTATAATATTTTCTGCTTGATTAAAAAACATGAATTCTACTTTAATTTAATTTCTATGAAGACTGTAATATAGTAGCTTTAAGATTATTTTGTTGTAATAGATGATTACAAATGATAGGGGAGATGGGGTCTGCTTATTTTATTACCAACTTGTGCTATAGCAGATTCTAATCTGAGAAGAAACAGTTTCAATGTTCAATAGTGTTGGATACAAGACCCAGATGATTTGTTGCTAAAAATATTGTTCAAAACCTTTTTTGCAATAGTAAAAGATTATCAAGTACAGAGTAACAAAACTGATCATTTTCGTTTTATTTTATCATTTCACCTCCAAGAAAGGCTATAAAGCCACTAAGGCACAAGGGGTTACTGAGTGTGAAAGAACATGAGAAAAAGAAAAAAAATAGGTAGAGAGAACGATAAAAGAACAGGAATTAAGAAGACAGAAAATAACAATTGACATTGTATTTAAATTTTTGAAGATCAAAGTTGACTTGAAAGCAAGCAGCCAGAAGAGAGTTTCACAAGTCAGAAGTGTGAGAGAAGAAACTGTTAGCATAAAACTTATTTATATCTAGCAATTTTCAACTGTAAAATGATGAGACCTATTACCAAGCTAGTAGTGTGCTTAAATTCATAAAGTCATCATATTGAAGAGGAAAAGAATATTTATTTTTGTAAAATACAAAAAATGTGGCACAAGGTCAAAAGGTGGGGATGAGGAAAGTCTGGTCTTTATTTGTCGTATAATTAAACTTAATTAGCCACAATCATTGACTCAAACATACCACAGTATTTCTTGCACCAAAATAGCACATTCTTACCACAGCCACCATAATACCTCAGAGTCTCTATGAAGTCCTAAGTAGTCCCCATAAGTACAATTTATCTGTTGGTGGGGGAAATATAAATAAAAATTTAAAATTTAACCCCAGTGTGTATAAAAGAGAACAATTACCATGAAAATATTTATAGAAAAGGCACATGGAAGCTACATTATGGCGGTGGGAAAGTGACTGAAGCTGAGATGCCAGGTCAGGGCCAATAATATTGCAGATTCTTCTTTGGATTTTATCTAGAATCTTTTAATACATAGCAGAAGCATCAGATCAGATGTGGCCGTAATATTCAATGCATGGAAGAATGGTAGACTTATAAATATGCAAGATAGATTCAGAGGATAAAAAATGT